TTTGTTGCGTGGAGCATATCGTTTTATCCACAAATTTATTTGAATTTCAAACGGCGAAGGTTCATTTTAAACTGTGAATATTGTTTGCGAATATTTTGAATCTCATTGTTTTTGTAATATTTTTGTTATAAGTTATAAGTGCATATGGCACGAAACGCTCCAGGTGGAAGTTTTTATAAGAGATGTGTAAATCAGAGAATGTGTAGTGGAGATTAGGTCAGTGGATGGATGATAAGAAAATTGAGAAGCAGCATTTTGCTCGGGTTTTCGAAATATTTAAGATTATGGAGAAACATTTATTGATGTATTTCATGATATCCTGCTGTGAAGGAAAGGTTTCATTATTGCTAACCATTTTCAGTGTTGTTGGCCTAAATTTTGATTTTCTCGTGTTGAATATAATCGGTTTTACGTGTTACACATTCTACAACGTTTTGATGTACTTCGATATGAATGTTCAGGTTCGGTTTGTTTTTTTTTTTTGGTGTAATGAATATGTTTGTGAGATTCAACGGCTCTGAAGCAAATGGTGGGAGAGAAGTGATCCCATAATTGAAAAATGTTTGACATTACATCCGTCAATGACAATGGTCTTATGTGATTTTTTATTTTTTATTTATGAAGAGAATAATTTTTATTAGTGAATATTTTACGAGTACGATATTTCAGGATATCTATGAACGAACTCATCCTCATACGCACATTCCAGTCTTATTGAACGATGTGGTTTTCGCTGTTCATGCGCTGTTCGCGTGTATTGTAACCGCCTTACAGTGTTTCTTCTATGAGGTTTTTTTTGGGAATTTGTTTCGGAATAATTTCTTACATTACATTGATATTTGTGAATTTAGTGAGCGAGTGAATGAGCGGTGTACTAAGGTTTCACTTAGTGAGAGTAAATTTTAAAGCAGTCAAATCGTAGTAGATTCAAAAAAGTTGTAAACGAATTGAATCGGCGTATGTGGCTGTTAAGATTTCTTATGTGTTCGAGATAATGGTGTTGTTATTGTTTCAGCGAGGTGGTCAACGTGTTTCATATACATGTTCGGGTATTTCGAGTGCATTCATCCTATTTGCTGTGATTTCATTCATCCTGTCGATGACTGATGTTATCAACACCCTGCAGTTTATCATGTTCTTGTCGTATGTGAAAATGGCTGTCACCCTTTGCAAATATTTCCCTCAGGTAACGAACGAGTTTAAGCTCGAAAATGTTCTTTAAGCATCTTTAAATCTGCTTCATACATCATTGAATCCAATGTTTTGCAGTGTTCATAAATCGTGGGATGGTAATCAAGACAGCGATATTATCCTGTCAAAGTGGAACTGAATTTTATACTTTGATATCAAAGTACTGTCGTTGTTGATACAATAATAACAATACTTTGATATCAAAGAATGAATATTGTTACCATATTTTGTTGTCATTTTTATGCGTAATCTTTGATTTGGTTCAGTTGATGACGACATTCATAGATTCATGAAATCAGTGACGCAATATAGATTCGTGATTTCTGATA